AAGCCGGCAGGCGCAGCCGTCACCGAGCACCACGGCGTTCACCTTTCGGAACCTTTCTTTGGGTTTTGAAGCCAAACAAATTCACCACCAGAATGGAAAGGAGAAGTAAGAGCACACGGTTTGCTCCTCCCAACCTGACAATGGCACTGCCTCCGGTCAGACCCAGCGACTTCAGGGTTGTCCTCTCCAGGGCATCTTTTCCCGCTATCTGCAACAGAAGCGGAGGGAAGCGATCAGGGCAGCTACCCCCCGGGGAGTGCTTCGAGTGCCCTTTCCAGAACGAAGCCTGTACCAAAACACACACCAGGCAGCACCAGATACAGCCCAAAACACACCCTTTGTCCAGCTGGAAACGAGCCCTGTGCCCGCCTGTGTTCACCTGTATCGCTCCCCAAACCCAGGGCCTCTCAAACCATCCCTGGGAAGGTGAGCTACACACGTGCCCGCCCCACACACCTTAGGACCGGCTCCGAGCGCAGCAGAGCACTGCTTTTCTGAGCAATGTTAAACCACAAGCAACATCTGAGAGCTGAAAGGCAGCCCAGCCCCCTGCACACCCCTCCCATCTGCTTGCCATCCCCATTCCAGAATAAAGCTGATCTGTCCGCGAGGTCAGCGGGGAGGGAAGGGGACAGCCAGGGAGAGCGAATTCCGTAACACGCACATACAAAATATTAAACAAAACATTAATAGCCGAAGATCAAAACACAGAGAAAAGCAAATATTTATTAAAATGAAACCACTGTTTTGACTCGAGCTTTGAGAGAAGTTGGAAAGAAAAACACAAACAGGTCATTGAGCTCATTTTATGGGCTCGGAGGCCCAAACGGCCCAGGGTTACGTTCCAGGAGAGCTTTTTCCACACAGACACGTCATGCTTTGACAAGACCAACAGTTTTCTACTTCCCCTCTCAAGTAAGTTCAAAAGAAACACTTTCCAGGTTGGAAAGCAGAGTGGGTTTTTCTTATTTTTCAGGGTCAGGAGAAGAGACAGTGAGGACGCCTGTGCTGGCGGCTTACCTCATCGCGCATGTAAACACAGACGGGAGAGGATCCACCGCGCTGCTCCAGGAGCTCCCTGCAAGACAGAGTAGAGTCCTGCGGCGCCTGCACAACCCCCTCCCACAGCCAGCCCCCTCCACAACCGAGGGAGAGCAGCAGCAAGATGGGAAGGGAGCCGGCAGCACTGCTCCGCACCCCTCCAGCAGCCACCACGACGCAGGCACAGGACCGGCAAGCGACGCTGCGCAAGAACTCGCGCCGACGCGTTCGCTGCTCCGTAAGCACAGCCCTGAGCGTCTCCGACGGGAAGTAAAGACAGTGAATTCTGCAGCAGTTGATCTCACTGGGCAAGTCTGGGCACCTCGTTCCTCATGTGCCTCAGTACCCCACCTGGGACACGGCTTCATGGGCTTTTTTTAATCCCTTCTCCAAGCAAGAGTTTACTCGGGTTGAGTTGTATTTCCCCTGGGGAGAGGTCAGTTCCTCTCCACGTACGCACAGCAACGACCAGTGTGAAACGCTGCTCCAAAGCAAACAGTCTAAGGACAAAGGTTCGCCTGTCTTGGTATCAGACAGATTAAAAAAAGCCAAAAAAAGAAAAAAGAAACAGCAGAAGCTCTGAGATTCTGGAGAGCAGGGACAGAACATAGCCAAGGGACGGCTGCCGTGGCAGGCAGAGCGAGGATCGACCCACGGGTCAGCGTTCCAGTGAGGCAGGACACGTGTGAGCCATGACACCAACGGCTGAGAGGGCCCCGCAGAGGAAGACCTAAGTGCAGGACTCCCAGCAGAGAGAAGGGGAAAGAAAAACCCAGCCGGATGCCGGCCCGACGAGATGCCACTCTTCCCATGCTCCCCTAGGTAAGCAGGAGGCGTTCAAGAAGAGCAGCTTTACCACCATTCCAGAGGAGCAGCTTTGTTACATATTCACTGATCAGACGCGGAAGATGGACCGGGAGAGGCCAATCACGGCCTGCACAGCACGGCTCGTTCTCACCCACCCAGGCCGACGCAATGACAACAGAGAGCACATGTGGAAAACCCTACGACAGGGTGTTTCTACAAGGGGGAAAAAGACTACAGCTTTCAGCAAGGACACACCTCAGGTGTCTGTAGGAAAGGAAAAAGCCTTAAAGGGTTAAACAGTACATTATACAGAAATGAGTGAGAGAAGGGGATTCAACAGCCAGAAAAGGATCCCCCAGTAACAGTCCAAAGCCTCTCAGCCAACCAAGCGTCCAACCCCAAAGCGGCTAGGTCCACGGCACGTCCGTGCTGCGGCAATGCCGCTGCTGCTGGGAAGGCTCCAGCTCCAGGGCTGCCCAGCCCAGAGGTGCACATTCCAAGCACCCGTGTGGAAGGGCCCTCAGGACAGGGGCAACGTTTAGCCCTCAGGTGAGGGAAGGTCACCACCCCCGGCACCTCCGTATGTGCCCGCGGAGCAGAGAGGGCCTGCGCACCCAAACGCATATCAACAACCCCGTGTCCGCAACGCTCGAAGTGGCTCAACAACAGCAGCTTGGCCAGCGCTCTCCCGGGGACTCTTTCTGCTGTGTCCGACCAGCCGAGCTGCTGAGGGACACATGCCACCACTGCCCTACCGTAGGGACCTACGTGACCCAGCATGGGCACCATCATGAACCACGCCGGGGAAGGAGCCACCAGCCCACAGAGCAGAGAATGAGTCAACAGCCATTACGTTCCGGGAAAATTCAGCACAGACATTCAGACTCAGCTCTGATGAGATGTGAAATAGTTGGAACCAGGAGTCACTCAGGATTGAGAGAGTCACTGGAGAATTACAGTACTCACTCCCAGAGCTTACTCCAGGAGCAAGAGCACATCAAAGAGCTGAAGGACGGGGGAGCTAACCTGTTAGCCACAAACCAGAACTGACCTACACCACCTGGTTTCATCCCTCTTTCCCAAACAGCCTTCCCAATTCAAGCAACCCTTCGGACTGAGGAGCTTGCTAAAAACATACAGGAAATATCTGAACTTAATGGATGAGCCAAGAGTCAAGAGTCATTGTCAAAACCGCCTCCAAGCGTCCCGACTACAATCGCTCCCACGTACACCCCCAGAGCCGCCGGACAGGCAGGAGCGGGAGGAGCCAAGCAACAGTTGGCCCAGGCCTAACGCTCAGAGGGTACCCAGCGCCGGTGCCCTCAGCAGTCCCTGCAGAGAAGGCTCCAAGCCAAGATCCCCAGAGACTTGGGTTTGTGTAACTCTTGGAAGCAGGAGGCTCCTCCTCCAGCTGCTGCTAATCCATTGCATGCGCGCACTGAGGCAAGCACACATCAAACACTCTGTCAGCTCTTTGATGTGCTGCTCTCAGAAGGGGAACGGCAAGCAGATCAGATCCCTCCGTGTAGCGATCTGACAGGGCCTGTAAACATCTTGTGCAAGGGCTGCCGCACGCTGAGAGGAGGAGCGGCCTGACAATAGCTTCCAGACCTTCTTCAGACCCAATTAGCCAAGATGGATGCTGGAAACCCGGGGGAAATTCCAGTGGATTTAGAATACTTCCCCTCACGCACTCAGAGCAGCTGAGCATTCCAGGAAAACGTCTCCGCCTGGAACGCCAAAGGAAGGATTCAGCAGAACCACCGATGAGCTGAGGAGCCAGTGAAGAGTCACACACTGCAGAGCAGTGGGATCCACACGGACGGCTGCAGGCCCGGCTCGCTGCAGGACTGGCACACGCAGCTCTGCTGCTGCCTGAACTGTATCACTAGTCAGCCAAGTCTGTCCAGACATCCGAGTTCAGCTTCCAGAGGGCAGAAGGGAACCGCTGTCTCCTGAGCCGAAGCTGTTAATGCTTAGCACGCTGCAGCACTCAATTTAAAAGTTGCAGCACACACCAACCATGAGCTTTACAATAACCTGGAACGAATAAAACCACTCCACGGGAGAACTGTGTAAAAGCTCAACATTCAAACCGAGTAAAGAACCAACCAGTGTGCGAGAAAGGCACAGAGCCCCTCTGTCACTGTTGTAATGACCAGCCCCACCAGCTCCCAGACTGGACAGGCACTCGTCCTCCCAGAAGGCACAAGGATCCAGTAAGGTACGAGGGGGCCTTAAACACCCAGGGAAATCACAGCTGGCTTTTCCACCTACCCCCTTCCTCAGCCGAAGGAAAGGAACCCCGTTCTCTCCCGCACTGACAGGAAGACTGTCCCTTTCGGCTCAAGGGTAAATGCCGCAGGGCAGACCGGGTCCCCTCCCGACCATCAGCGACCAAGAGGAAACAAGGCCCATTTCAGCACTTTAACTGCCCCAAGCGTTTCCTCTCACCCGCTCGATGGCGCCATTCCTGCCCACCTGCTGCTCCCACTGTTGGATCCCTGTTTCCAGCAGATGAGCTACACCCCGTCATAACCGCCTAGGAGGGAGCCCTCCTCCGGCTGGGGAGCCCGACCCGCCTGCCAGGCAAGGGAGGGAAAGCACCGGCTTCTCAGCCAGACCGGCTACTCCATCCGATTCCCCACAAAGCTGCACGAAGAGCACTAGGGGAGTTGGACGGGAGGGCGGGACGTGAGCACTGTGTTCAATCCCTACGGCCCCCACCCAAACTGCCCCCCAGCCCAGCATCAGTCCCTCCTCCGACCCCGTCAGGGGCCAGGCAGGGAGCTGAGCCAGCAGGAAACCGGCAGCACACCCCTGGGAGGCTGGAAGAATCAGCTCCTTCACCCTGGAATCAGCTCCAAAGCAGCTCCACTCACACAATTCCAACTGTGCAGCCCTGACTTCATGAGAGAAATCCGTCGATTCACCCTGATTCGAAGAATCAGCTCCTTCACCCTGGAACTGGCTCCGGAGCAGCTCCACTCACACGATTCAACTGTGCAGCCCTGACTTCACGAGATAAATCCGTCGATTCACCCCGATTTGACACATCTGCAGGATGTAGCTGGCTCACAACAGCCGACTACTGCCACGAACACCACCCACGCAGGGTTCCTGCACCGCGCTGCTCACCTGGTCGTTGCAAAGTGGCCGAGAAGTTCCCACAGCGTCTGCTGGCAGGGAAAGGTGTCTTGTAACCGGGAGCCATCATCCAACTGCAAGGCGACCCGCACCTACAGGAAAAATACAGGCAATTAACCTGAGAACTGACGGAGAACCTTTTCCTTCACCACTGTTTTCAGCATTCCAACACACTCTAGAACCCACTGCCCAAAACCCCACAGCTTCCCCCCAACACTGGCCGCACGGGACTACATCAGCTGGAAGCGCAGAGGAGTATTCAACGGATTATTTCAGAAGTTAGCACCTGGGACAGCCCTTTGCTGCCGCCACCGAGGATCTGAAGGGAGGCTGCCACAGGCCTCGCTGAAGCCCAGGCAGACAACACCCCCTGACCCTCCCCCCCACCTACCAGGTCAGTCATTTTAGCACCGAAGCTGATCCCGTCGCCAAAGCGCAACTTGCCCTCACCCAGCCCACTGGCTACTCCTGATGATACTCCCGTCACCCGTGCGCCTGGGAACGGTTTCCAGGATTGGGTGCTCCATTCCCTTCCCAGGGATCGAGGTGAGGCTGACCCCCCTGTAGTTCCCTGGGTTCTCCTTGAAGCCAGGAGTGACCTTTGCTTTCTCCAGCTTTTGGGCCCTTCTCCCACGATCGACCAAGACGATGGGAGCAGCCCTGCAGGGACACCCGCCAGCTCCCTCACCGCTCACACCCCATCAGGGCCCACAGACAGCCCTGACCTCACCCTCTTCCACCCAGGGTCCATATTCCTCGCTCCAGCCTTTCCCCCTGGTCTCTGGGACTTCTGAAGGCAGGTTTGGCTACTGCAGCGTGAGGCAAAGGCGCCATTCAGCCTATTCCATGTTCTCTGCACCCAGGTCCCCTGCCCTGCTGAGCAACGGGCCCACATCTCCCCGCGCTCCCTTCGCCACCTCTGCACTTACGGAACCTCTTTTTGTCTCGGATGTCCCTGGCCAGATTCAATTCCAGCTGGGCTTAAGCTTTCCCAGCTTCATCCCTGGATGCCCAGACAAGGTCCCTCCATCCCTCCAAGGTCACCCACCCTTGCTTTCACCCTGCATGCGTGGCCAGGAGCCCCCTGGCCATCCATCCTGGCACTTCTGCCTGACCTACACCTCGCTGGAACAGACCGCTCTGGAGCGTGGAGGAAGCGACCCTTGAACACTACCCAGCTTCCTGGGTACCCTGAACCGAAACATTCCAAGGCCAGCGTGGGTGTCCCAGACAATGTGACACTGCGAGGAGTTGAGACGTTCGGGTTTACACTGGCTACACGACAGGAATTCCAGTAGCCCGGACGGGAGCGATGCAGCTGCTTCAACTGAAGTGCCAGCCCAGAGCTCTGACGTAGGCTCGATCTGCAGAACAACCCTGGGGCAGGGCAAACAGCGTGCCTGCACATCCGCAGAGGGAACGACGCCAAGACCACCTGAGTGCGCGAGGAGCTGAGCAGCAGCTCTGAGCCCGAAGAGACCACAGGGCCCCAGCGCTCCCAGCAGCGCTGACCTGCAACCTAGGAGCGAGCTAATCACCAATCCCAAAACGACTCCAGGTGTTCAGGTTCTTAAAGCACCTACAGAAGGTGGCAAAGGACAGCTGGCTGCTTCCAACAGGCCTTTTCCAACCTGGAATGTGGAAATTCCCGCACACTGGCAGGTCCTACAGATTCTTCAGAGAACTGCTATCACCAAAAAAAGAAATCCAAGGCCTTTCGACACTTAACACATCAGGCGCAGTCCTGAAGAAGCTCCTGATGGTGCCAAGGGAAGAACCCAGCAGCTGACCAGGTGAGGAACAGCCATGCGCTTCGGGCCTTAGCTTTATCCTTCCGGGAATATTCAGCCTTCTTCCTCAGAAAACTCTGTTTTCCCAATTAGCTCACATGGCTGGAGTGGGAAAAACCTGCTACTAGAGAGCACCTCGTGCCCCTGCTCACCTGCATTTCTGATGCCCACTGAAATCGGCCGTATCCAAAGGCCTGAACAGGATACAAGCCAAGGGCATCAGGAACAGCTTGCTCCCACTCTGCGCTCCCACACGTCCCGGCCAACCACCCCAGCGCACCCCTCCGTCGCCTGCGCGACGCGTGTGAGCGAGAGTAAGGGTGCCAACAGACCCCGCGCTCCGGCAGTCGCCTGCGAAGTCCCTGGAGGTGCACGTTTATCATCTGCCGCGGCCCCACAGCTCTCGCAGGACTGCAAACTGGGATCTGCTGGAGACGGGAATTCCGCTTGAAGGAGACAGCAGCAGCACCAACCACCAGACAACAGAACAGTCATTTCATGTCCCCACTAACGCAACCTCAGAGTTTCTCCTGAGCTGGAGACGCGCCCTGGGTTACCCGCAGCTACGGCGGGGTGGAGACAGCCGGCATCACCCCTCCAGAAGCGCCCAGCCCAGAAATTCAAACCACCAGTTGCATCAGCTTTCGGGCCACAGGTCGAACCAAAGCATGTCACCAAGAGTCCTCAGTCAGTCACAAAAGCCTTTTGTGAATTCCCAGGCTCTGTAGAAAGAGACACCCGTGCCAATTACCTTCCACGTTTCCGAACGCACAGAGAGAAGGCTAATGACCTGCCCGGCAGCACTGTGCCGAGGCACCCCGGATGCCCTGCCAGCGCAGGGGAACGGGCCCTGCTTTTCACCCAAGAACCGTCTGCAGGACTCAGCGATTTTCATGTGCGAAGGCAAATCCAACAGCATCCCACTTGAAAAACATCAGATGTGCCGAACAAACGGGTGAGCCCTCGCGCCTGTGTTCAGCACGCAGAGGTGCCGCTGTCAGCACCCGCGGGGAAGCGCCCACGGAAAAGCTCCCGCGGGGAAGCACACTGACCCCCACGCGCGTTGTCTCAGAGACATCAGAAGGCACGGAACCAAGTCCATCCCAACAGTACTGAGCTGGCCTGCGTGACCGCGTCCGCCCCGCTGCCCCCGCGTCAGGGCGCCAAGCTGGTGTCAGTCCCGGCCGGTCACCCCGCTGCTTCCCGCAGCATTTGACACCAGCTCCCAGCCAGCAGGGAATTCCTGCACTCACTCCCATTCGTACGCGGCGATTCCCGGCACTGTCGGAGAAGCAAGGTCTCCGGCCTTCGTTTACGCACAGGGCATGGGGTGCGGCCGCACAGCGTCAACCCCCCTGTGGCAGCTCGGCTGGGTGCTGTTTTGTGGGCAGCAGCTCTGGTCATACCGCTCCCTCCACAAGCGCGTTTGCTGCACCCTCCCACCCCCACGACACCGCCAGCGCTCCAGGGGACCCCTCGCCTCCCCAGGTTCCTCGGCTGAAATAAAACCAAGACTAACAACTAAAACCTTCATTAGCTCTTCTCTGGTGTGACCTGACGCAGCGACTCCGCGTTCCATAACCCCGTCCCTACAGCACACAGTCCTCCTCAGCCCTTCCAGGATGTTGCACGGACCTTACCAGGGAAAAACCAAATCGATCCCCGTTTCCCTGAAGGCCGGTACCCCCGACCTGGACAGAGTCAGCACAGCACTGTGTGTGATGGAAACCCTCTCCTCTGGAGGACAAGCCCCATGCTATCACAGCTCTTCTGAATTTTAAGCGGATGCTCCCAGCTCGCGGGGTTTTGCAACCAAGTATGTCATTTGGAGCACAAACTCCTCTGTGCCACACAGACAGGAAGAAAACATTAGTGCCAAAACAAAGCACAGGGAGGCTTTACCCCCACAAGTCCGTTGCGCACCCACAGAGATGAGAGCAGGTCCCAAAACCTTCTCACACGAGGAAGTCCGACTCCGACACGTGGATCAGCTCACCCTGGCGACAGCCAAGGCGACTGCCTGTAAGAGAGTGCCCCAAACACAACCCGGCAGAGACCCGGAGAGATTCGCACTAACAGACTCGAAACGGCCACAAGAACTGACGGACTGTGCACCAGGAAGCCAGTGAGAGGAGAGGCGGCCGTCAGCGACAGGCACACTTCCACTCCCAGGCTCCCTAAGTAAGGCCAGTCTGGCCCTGTCGAATGTTCGTGCTTGTTAACACCTATGCATCGCTTCCAGATTACTCCTCCGGTTGCCGTGACACCGGGCGTAAAGATCTCCCAACCTCCTATGCGTGACCCCTACGGAGCAACTACTAACTCCACAGAACATGGGCCCGTCAGCCCTTGGCAAATTCCAGCAAACAGGGACGTCGGGTGACTGCGAAACCACCCGTCACACGTTCCAGAGCCGAGGGAGCAGACCGCGACCAGCAGTGCCAGGGAAGGAGCAGAAGAAACTTCCTGAGAATGAGAGATTTGAGCAACTCCAGTGTCAGACAACAGCAACTGGAGGAGAAATTAGGAAAGGGAACCGCGTGAGCGGCTCAGTGCTGACCAAAGTCATCAGTGATCTTTAACCTGTTACACATCCATCACTCCCAGATTTTCAGCTCCTCAAAAGATCTCCCCATCCTCCAGCGCACAGCCATACCCACCATCAGGTGGGCTGCCAGGCCAAGCCTTCCAGCTACCAAATTACCACCTCCCACCACACCTGAACCAGTCTTGGGGTGGTCTTCCACTCCAGCACAGGCCAAGCAGACCCAACTCTGGCTCCCTACGTCTGGGATCGGTAACCGAACACACCAGGTCCCGCTGCGAGGTGAACGTACCATGTTCCCCGTTCCCACTCTATTAGAGACCGGCACCATCTCCAGCTTGGCATTGTTGGGCAGTCTGGCAAATCTCCACTGCAGAGAGAGATCCAACACGCTCCTCTGAAACCTGAAGAAGAACACAGCCCGTGAGGACACCAGGAGACCCCCTCTGCCACCTGCAGATCACGTCAGGGGCTGCCCAGGCCAGCTCCGGTGCAGGACTCCCTGCAGGTGGGAGGCGCCGAGCACAACTCAACTGCCAATCCAGGAATGAGTAACGCAGAGAATGACTCCGCACACCAGGAAAGCTGCAGTTCGGAGGGGCCACAGATAAAACAGTCAAACATAGGTTCCTCCTCAGGCTTTAAGAGGTGAGCAGCACCTGATTAGGTGCTCACTGGGTGTTTTCTTTCGTGCCACTGAGATAAACCACCTCTTGGTGAAGGGGAGTCCTGCGGGCCCGGGCGCTGGAAGAGCGCATGTGGGGAGGGGCCTTGGCGGAGTAAGCAGGATCTCAGCATGGATCCCGAAGGCGAGGGGAACTTGGCACGGCGCAA